TACAGAGAAAAGAGTATATGTACAATGGAATACTTTTCTTTTATAGCGAAATTTTGCTCACGTATTTTTTGATATGAATTTAGGATTATAGGATTAGTGAAGTGGAAATACCAGTGGGACATATGATATATGATACACAAACGAGCCACAGGTATCTTGCATACCGGACCACAAAGAAGAAACAAAGAATATCCAAATACCACCAAAGAATAAGATACACTTTGAGGAGCCAATTCGATGAAAAAACCCATGCCATAAAAATGTATGCCCTGCCAATCATTAGGTACGCATTGTAAAATGGATGAAGAAAGATATGGAAATTGCTGACGTGAGGACCCAGAAACTCCTTCCTGTATTGAACGATATTCAGGTAAAGCTAAAATAACACTATAGGATGAATTGCTAAGAGAATACCTGAAGCACCAATAGGCACTGGAGAAATACCAAGCAAATAAAATAGCATGGCAAAACAAGACCTTCTGGATGTGCCATAGACAGATAGTTGGTATTAAGAAATCCTGCCAGAGGTTGGAAAAAGCTAGATTAAAAGATAGAATCGAGGCATCGACCACAACAGCATAGATAACTACGCAGTAGATTCATCGAAGTAAGGATGTAACATTCAGTCAGGATTCAAGGTGCAAACTAAGGACGTAAAAGTCCCAGCATATAGCGACAGGAACAACACAGACCATAAGCAAGTAGCTGATATTATTTACCGAAATATCTGCTCAATATATGGCTAAAATCCTCCAAGGACCAGACGGGAAACTCAAGAACTCCCAAGAGAATCGGGAGGCAAACGCACCAACAAGTGCTGGCCAATCAACCAGATACCGTGGTAGTAAATAAGAATCAGAAATCAGCACTGATAATCGATAAAGTAATACCAAGATACAGGAATGATGTGAAGAAGGAATATGAGAAGCTAAAGAAAAACCAGATACTAAAAAAAGAACTAGAGAGCATGTGGAAAATGAAGTCAATAGTCCCCATTAGATTAGAAGCATTAAGTTGTGGTCCCTAAACTGGAAAAATGGCTCAACAAATTCCAACATCAATATCAGAGATTGGAAAATCAGAGGTCCAAGAACATAGAAATGTGCCAGGAACAGTTAAGATACTGTACAAAACCCTCAAGCTCCCTAGTTTCTGGAAGATGAAACGAGGTTGAGAAAAAACCCATGCTACCTACAGAGGATTTTGTTTTTTTTTCATGTTTCACTATTTGATCACTGAAAAACTTTAACATTAAATTAAATAGGATGATCACTTGGCTACATTACTAAGGTCAAAACCATCAAAATAATAAGTCTATAATTAAAAATAAATCCTTGCTTCTTGATCAGAGTTCATTGGAAGAATGGCTGGTTATCGCACGGAGATCCCAGCTAATTTCTCTAATAAACAGGTTTCATTGTAGTAAATGGAGGCAATCAAATCAAGAATAATGTGTTAAACTAATTGCTAATGGATGGTTACTGTTAGGAGAGAGATATAACATGTAATATAAAAGATATAACCATCCAACCGATTCTGAAGACTTGCTTTTACTTCTTCACCTGATTGTTTGGTGACTGGATCTCATTTTAATATACAAAGACGCGAGCCAAATCAAAAATGTTTAGTGCCACTAAGAAGATTTTAGGAATGATTTTTTTCTTGCTCAAGGGTTACCAACAGACCGTTCACTATGTTCCATTTTCAGTTATTGGCTATTTTGCTATGTATGACACAGGACCAATATTTATTTTGAAAACATTAAATTTAAGCCATTGAGAAATATTTTTTCTCTTCATCAACTGTGCCAAAAGAAAATTCCTTCTGCGGATTTTAATTTTATGTAAATTTCAATAAAAGTTTTATTGATTTTAATAAATAATTTAGATAAGTTTTTATTTTCTTTATTTTTATAAACAAGGACCATTCAGGACATGTAGCCTCGTTAATATGTAATGACCTACAATAGGAAAAATAACACAGGGAGGACAAAGAAAGAAAGAAGGACATATTTTTGTTTATTGTTTATTTATTTATTTTTTATTTGTTGTAAATAAGGACCAAGCGAGGTATATAGCCATATGCATGGATAATAAAACAAACAGTATAGAACGGGAATAAAAAATATATGAAAACAATAAAAGCGGACAAAGCGGACTTAATATTTGAATGTGGGTAGAACCAGGTAATATTTATCAAAGATACTCAAAGATACTAACATACATCAAATAACCTGTAAAGAGTCTCTCAAGGTACTCGAAAGGTTGATCTGCAACAAATTGCTTATTTATCTTGATATCAATAATTTTATATCCTCTTATCAGCATGGCACTAAAAAAATCTTACAAAAAAGTCTACTTCTTCACAAATTTGGCAAATCTTTCCGCATCAACTGACAATTGAAAAACAGTATCAATTGTATACTTAGATTTGGTAAAGCTTTTGATACTGTTTCCCATAGCAAATTGCTGATCACTCTTAATAGTTATGGAATTACAGGGGCCCTTTATAACTGGGTGTCAGATTACATAAAAGATCGCCACCAAACCTCAAATAAAGAAATCCTCAAAGATACTAAATTTTATTTTTCCTCCGTTTAAGAACAAATCACGCGTTAATAACATTCTCTCTTACACAACACCTGTTGAATGTGGTGTTCTCCAAGGTAATTGTATTGCGCCAATGCTTTTTCTATTATATATAAGTAATATCACCAATGTAGTACTAAATTCTACTATTTATCTTTATGCTGATGATTGTAAAATTTATTATTTTTATGGTAGAACAGATAGCCTATCTCCACTGCAGGAGGACCTCAACAGAATAGCTGACTGGCTATATGACAGGCAAATTACCCTTTCTTTTCAAAAATATAGCGTTTTTCATATTAATCCTAAAGGTTTCGATCCTCCTGATCTTTTCATTAATGGTAATATAATCAGAATCTCACACATTTCCTTGGAATAATCGTAGATAAAATCTCAATTTCGACCTTTACTGCAAAACCATGGTAAAAAAAATCCTCAAAGATACTAAATTTTTGTATCATGGTAAATTTTGTACCATGGTAAATTTTGTTTTTCCTTCGTTTAAGAACAAAACTGAAGATTTTCTTATCAAAATTTACAAAGCGTTCGTTCGGCCATTTCTTGACTACAATACTACATGCTACTTCCTGAGATATCGTAAGTTAAGTAAAATAATTGAAGAACTCTAAAAAAAATATTTTATATGACGCCTCTTTCCTAATTCCATTCTTAATTATAAAAGAATACTTCTACAACCTGGATTCTCTCTTAGTTCGTCGAATTTAATTTATACTTAACAAGATTTAATTTATACTTATAAGATTCTGTGTGGTTATATTAAACTAGATTATTCAAAATATTGTAATTTTAGGCTAAATTTGAATCATGACTTCTTTATTCGTTATATTAAATACTGGAATAAACTAGTGAACGATATAGCCTGTGCCCCATCCCTAGCTATTTTAAAAAAAAAAATTAGATAATATTATTTATGATAATATTTAAAAAATTTACATTATTTACATTATGCAGGAAGGGTGAAAACTCGATTTTTTTACCATCCGATTATAGTTATTTCGAATTGTACTATATTATATATTTCGTAATTTCCTCTTTATTTCCTCTTTAAATTGTTAATTTTTTTGTCATATTTTCTTTTTTTTATCATTAATTTTTATTATTTGTTATTTTAACTGTTGTTATTAATAAAAGCACATGGCGTTTCTCGCTATGCTTGGCTGGTTTTCAATAAATAAATAATATTACCAAAATTTTCCCCAATTCTGTGTTAGTTATACGTTGCTGTTGATTATGCACTCGTTGATGAGAGGGAGAATCATTGTTGGCAGAAACGGAATAATTCACTGGATTTGTGAAATTAAACCGCTTTTCGGTAAATGTAACATTCCGCATGTCAACATGAAAGGCAAAGCTAATAGTTTAATAATTCCATAAACAAGTGCGAGTGACATACCAAACTTGGTTCAACCGTTGACGAGAATTTAGATTTGACTTACACGGCAGACTCACGGCTAAAAATTTATGATTTAAACTTAAATTTGAAATTTTAGTGTAATTTGAAGCAATGAATTAAGATTGTTTCAACTTTTCTGCAAAATTAGTGAGCATTATTGATTACTGGAATAGATTATGCAGGGCTATAAGGCTATGGTTCCAGAAAGTGAGCATTATTGATTACTGGAATAGATTATGCAGGGCTATAAGGCTATGGTTCCAGAAAATTCTATATTTAGTACAAAGAAGAAAGCGAAAGTGAAATTAAAGATATATTTGAACAATTTTCCGTGCACTGTTTATTTTTCATGCTTGGAGAAACATTTTTAAAATAATTTAAGGCGAAAACCCTATGGGACTTCTCCACCCAGACAAATAAATACTGGTTAATCAATCAGATATCGTGGTAATAGACAATTAGAAACCAGAACTAGTGATAGATATAGCAATAACAAGTGATAGGAACATTAGGAAGAAAGGATATGAGAAACTAAAGAGATAACAGGAGTGAAAGAGGAAGTAGAGATGTGCAAATATATATTTATATAGAAATATTCTTTAATGGATAAAAAAGGAAATAATAGAAAGGACATAATTTTTTTCCTTTATATAAAAAAAGAATCGTTTTCTCATTCTCTGTGGATAGTATGGATCATTCTCAATCTCTACTAGAGGCACAGAACCTTGATTTATTTATATTAAATTTGTTTCATTTTTTGTTTCATTTTTTTTCGTACATAGCATCAGTTTTATTAAAATACCATAATGATAAAATTGCATATAATTATCATAAATTCCTTTGATCTATTCAGATATTTTTGTTAACAATTCCTTAAACAAATTTTTCAAGAACCCAGTTTTAATTATAAAAATAGAAAAAAACAAGCATAATTTTAATAAAAACAAATTTTGCTTTTAATATTTACAATAAAAAATATTTTAAACAACATTGATATTTTACTTCCCTAAAGACGATGCTAATTTAAATCCTTCGAAATTATTTTGGGAAAAATTAGGCAGTTCAGGCAGTTCATACTTTTTTTGTTCTTTCGTTGAACGTTTTATTTCAAGTATCTAAAACATAAAACTAAATAAATAAATAAACAACAGAATATTTCAATTAATTTTATCAACAAATGATGTAAAGTTATATTAAGGAAAGAATAAAAAATAATACCGATGATCATTACTGAACAAAAATATTTGCAACCTTTTGCGACGATTTGTGCTGATAAGTGATGTTATTTTTTGAAGATTTAAAAATTTCGTGTTCAATTAAAGATGATGCTTTTTGTAAATTTGTGTAATTCAAATCTTCATAATAATTTGCGATTAAAGCAGCATATATTGCATCATAAATTGCTTCTCGCCGCTAAAAAAGCATTAAATAAGCTTAAAATGGTAAGAAATTTTTTAAAACATTTATTACTTAGGGAAAATAACAAGATATTAGATTTAAAAAACCCACATTCATAGTTACATTTGCTACAGTTTTCGATTGAGGATCGATCAAACGAATATTCGGATTATCTAAAACCAGTATAAAGTATATAGTATAATATTTAGCATATAGTATAAACTTATGGAACTAAAAAATATAAAAATGGCTATTTCAAATCTCCATGATCTATTAGAAGTAACTTTCGGCTATGCTGCAAAATAATCATGTGTCAATTAGTGACTTTTTTTACCAAGAAAAACCTAATTATTAATAAATTACAATTAGAAATAACCTTTTAAATTTGATGCATTGCTACTTTCATAATTCTGATAACTGGTCTAAAATAAATCAAATCAAAAAATCAAATCATCAAGAATTTCAATAAATTCGACAAATTCCAAAATTATTCCGATTATAACTGCTCTAAATAATAGCAATACCTACCGATCGTCTAAGCATAAATTCGCGGGCAATAATTTCCGTACGTTTTTTTTTTCCTCAGTTTCTATTTTTGTATGGTCATATTTTCCTCCTTCTGAATCCCAAAATCTACTGAAAGGAAAAAAAAATGAAAGGAAATTACACATATTAGCTGTAAAATTAGAGACAAATTTAAAGTTTTAATGAAACTTTAAATTTAATAAAGTTTTAATGAGACCAGAATTGCCGCATCAGCTGATCGAACCTGAAGACATATTTCAAAGAAACTTCAGATTTTTGTGCATCTAATTGGAAAAAATCTACCTTAGCGTAGTGCTCACTGAAACAACCTCTGCGGTAGATTGTTATAGTTTTATGTAGATGGCTATATATGTGTAAGTTCTGGCACTGCTTCACCTCTAAGAGTAGGAGCCGTAATACAGAAGCGCAAGTAATAGCCGCTACTTTTTCATAATTATCAAAAAAAAAACTGTTGAAAATGGAAAATAGAAAATGGAAAATGGAAAATAAAAAACTTCGAACATCGACCGCCTTCATATAATTCACTACTGTCATCAAAAAGAGATGGTTTTTTATGCCACTTCATTGATGTGGAATCCTTCCATATTTCTCCATTAAATTTTTGTACCGCTTCTTCACATATCTTAAAGCGAATAAATAAGTAAAAGAAAATTGAAAAAAAACACAAATCATAAATATTTAAGGGAATACCTTTGGATTTTTGCAGTGATCGCAGCTTGTATTACAAGCCCGCAAATCTGTGTCGCCAAAATATTTACTAAATGCTACATGTCGACAGCTAAAAATATTTTATGGAATATATCGAATTTAACTTGAAAATTTTAATTCAATGAAAGAAAAAATAAAAAAAAGAACCCAAGCCGTTCACAGTATTCAATCATTTTGTCAAATCCATGCTGCATTCCCTTAATTTGCTGTTCGATTAAAGTTTTTTCGATTTTCTTAGCCTAAAAAATTGAAAATTTCTTTTGACCTATAATATTGATATTAATGATGTTGAAATATAAAGCTTTTAATTTAAAAAATTTTTTGTTTTTATTTAATTCTTTTATTTATATATTTACAGGTGAACTTCACAGCAATGCGTTTGTATGGTCAACATCAATCCGCTCGCTTTTTCATTTTTAGCTTATGAACATTTTTTTATCAACTGGATTTCTCCCAGTATAGTCCATTTAGAATTTATCTAAATGAATTAGATCGAATCCAATATTGAATCTTAATCTGTTTTATATCGTAAATTCTTCGGTGTACAGTTTAAACTTTTCTGCAAAACTAGTGAGCATGATTGATTACTGGAATAGTTTATGCAGGGCTATAAGGCTATGGTTCCAGCAAATTGATTAGTACAAGGAAAAAAGCAAAATTAAAGATACATTATTTGAAAAATTTTCCGTGTTTATTTTTCATGCTTGGAATAAATGTTATTAAGACGAAAGGAAACTATGAACCTTTATCGATCATTTAAATTTAATTTTATTAATTTCAGTAAATTTAATGAATAATGTTCAATAGTTTCGAATAGATTTTTTCCAGAAAAAAGGACTGACATTCAAATTTTTCAGATTCCATATTTCACTTATTAAAATATTAAAATAATTAATTAAGAAATTACTAGAATGTGAAAGAGATAAAAACCAATAAATAAATAAGATCTAAGTCGTAACAATTGTGAGGAATGAGCCGTGGCAAATGTTTTTCGCGATTAGATGCAACGCAAAGTCTGTAATTTTCGCCTACACTTTTAACGCCTCACATAAACCGAACAAATAAACCGAAGACAACTTTCTCGATAGGAGAGCGTTAAAATTCTGCTAGTTATTCGTCCAGGTAATTTTACTCACATTTGTATTTTAAGGATGTTTCGTGTGGGATGTTACATCTTTCTCTGTTTGTTCAGCTTGTTTTACTCGTATTTGCTCGCTCTCCTAGATTAAGGCAAAAATTTTTCTTTGACAAATGCGTTAAAATAAGTGGTTAAGTGCGTTAAAATAAGTGGTTAGCACTCACCACCATTTCTGATTAGGTTAGCTCCCCTAATATAACTGTTAATATGGTGGAAATTTGCCAGGAGTCACTTGGGGATAGAAATGCAAATGCATCGCCAGCACCACAGGTATTTTTAATTTAATTGTAGGTTTACTCATATCCTGCTGAAGGTTGAAGCCAAATTCTTGCCTTATAGCACGATAATCTAACTCACCACTTATTCGGCTATCTTGCCCAACTAACAAATCTACAAAACTACGAAATTTTTTATTACTTTTTTTGTACTAAAATATTTAAAATTTTTTCGGGTACAGGTCATCGATCAATTTCAACGAAATTTTAAGTGAAAAAAAATCTTTACAGAAATTTTTAGTTATAAATTTTTCTGAAAAAATATAAGGGCAAACACTATATTTTGAAATTTATGTATATCAAGTACATTTAAGGATAAAAACAAAAGCGAGTCCCTTGAAATGAAATAATAAAATTAATAGTCTTAAAGTGCGGTCACCATGTCCTAAGGATCCTCAAGTATTTTTTAGAGGCTCTACGAAGTCAAAACAAAGTTGTCCTTGTAATAGCATTAATTTATTTGTTATTGCCCTTTTAACAAGTAGCTAAAGAGATATGCAAAATAAGCAAAACTTTTTTATATAAAAAACGCCTTTATTCTTCTCATTAAATTTTCTTTTATTTTGAAGATTTTTATAGTTGTTTTGCATTTTTGCATGAAAAATAAAATTCGCTATTTATCATATTGAGTTAAGATAATTCGCAGTTGTTTTATCCTAAATTTAGCCTATTTTCGTGAGACAATTTAATTATATTCATTTGCGAATGGACCTAATAATTTTTTATGAATTGTTTTGTCAAAAATTATAAGTTTTCTTAAAAATTCAACACGGTTGTTGAATTAGTGCGAAAGAAGGGTTCAAAAGAAATTATTAAAATGAGATATTTAAATAGTTTGAAATTTTAAGATGTTAGATTGAAAAATGGTTTAGAATAAGATGATGTCTGATTCGAACATTTAAGAAAATTGAAATATTTTAAAATTTTTTGAAACGTATTTTTTATTAAATTTAAAGGATTTTCAGGCAAAAAATATAGTAATACGGCAATAAGTATATAGTACAAATATTTTGCTGCTTAAAAGTGAAGTTTCATTAATTATAAAAATTATGCATTATTTCATCCGACGCTCCAAATCTTTAGATCTTAATTTAATTCGAAGGTAATTTTTGTGGATTATTATTTGTTGAAATTTTTATTTTGATTTAAATCTTACTTTTCCTTTTGAGTTACCAAAATTTCTATTTATTAAATATTAATATTAATAAATATTTTAAAAGTCCTTGAATAATCTGAAATGCGATATTTGAGAGAAAGCTATCTGGCTCGCTGGTCGCGTGAAACAACTCCTGTTGACTCGGAAGAAAGATATATTCGCAATATTCGACGTTCATATACACCAGTACGTGAGGTTGCAGCATACGAAGTATTTTTTCCTTTAATTGCTATCTATGATTTTCTTATAATTTGTATCTTTTTTTCATTCACTTTTCTTGTATTTCGTGATGGCGCTGTTAGTGCAGCTGCACTTCTACCATTAAGTGACTCCTTGGAAAAAATTTCTTGCCTTACTGATGACGAATGTTACTAGAAATGAATGATGAACGCTACTTTTTTACTTTTTCTTTATTTGAATATATTTAAGTCGGACTATTTTTCTAAAATCTATTGGTTGCATTCTTTAATTTTTAGCGAATTTATAGAAATGAGTGATTCTATTTTTAGATGATACAGGATACACGTCGGCCACTGAATAGTTATCGAGCACGAACTCCTTTAGAAGTTGTAACTATTCCTTATCATACAAATATTTATTATTTTGCGGAAACACAACCATTAAGAAAATATGACATCTTTCAGCTTCGAACATGGGCTTATCCTATATATAAGTGAGGATTTTTTTTTATTTTTGTAATTTTTACGAATTATCTTGAATTCAATTGCACAATTGCAAAGATAATTTGCAACGAATTTGATAAATGCATCATTTTAGCTGATATAATTGGCAATTATTTTAATCTCTTTTTTTTAAGCGCCAATCACCATTTGTGGTTCGGCTACCTCCACTGATTTCTGGGATAGAATCCTTTCATCACGGTATTAAAAGTATAGATGGATCTTCGGTCTTACTAGAATTTCAATTTCAAAATAAATCAGTTAAATTAAAATATAGATCATGTATTTTACAAATCATAATTAGATATTGAGAATTAGCTTTTGAAAAAAAAATACGTTGACTATGCAAGAAAAACTAAGATAACGAAATTGAAGTAAAATTGAACTGGTATTTTGCAGTTCTGGTCAAAGTTCTTCAGATAATTTCATTATCATTAGTGTTAACAATATCCAGTAGAATTTAAAATGGAAGTAAATCTGCAATTTTCACTTGGGAGTATAAGAAAAATAGGTATCTAGCAACACTCGAGTTTTATTTTTAATGAAATTCACTCTCATCGAAACTTTTGATAATTCTCCTAATTTAGTCGAACCACTCGACCATATCCCGCCTACATTTAAGTTTCAGAAAAAATTCATGGATTAATTTCCTTGATGATGGACGCCCATTCTCAAAATTTAATAAATAAATGAGATAATGAATAAGGAAATCTCATTTCAAATCAGCCATAATTACATCAATTAAATCACTTCACCATAATAGGAAAATCATTTTTGCAGAAATAATATATAAATGTAACTAATTTATTCACCATAATAGGAAAATGAAGATAATAATCGAAGTTTGAATCAAATTTTGTATTTAATATGAAATTTAAATGAACAAATCACGTCAAACAGAAATATAGTGAGGGAGACGTGAGGAAAGTTTTCGAAAAATTTTTATAAAATTCGATTTGGTGCGATAGAAAAAATTTCGATTGAAATGATAAGATAAATTGATTGTGAACTGGAATAAAATTATTGAGGGGAGGGAGGACTCGAAGTGAGTGATTTGTTGTTTATCACTAATCTTTGTTGTTGGAGCGAGGAAACAATAATTTTCCAAGAACCTCTGAACCCTGTTATCCGCAATGCACTATTTCTTTCTTTTCATCCATTGCTTTCTCTTATAAACACTTTACAATCAGCTTTTTTTAATGATTTGCATAGGAAAATTTCGCTGATTCCTAACTCAACCGATCGATAATTCAGAAATCTTTATCTTTAAATAATAAAATAAAAATAAATTAAAATATACGCTATGGTAAAAAGCCGTATATATCATCACCCATTCGATTATAACGAACATGTACTCGAACTATGGGCTTGTGATGCTTATATGTAAGATTTCTTTTATCGCTTCTATTTTCATTCAACTTTTTTATTTTACTTAAGCTTTATTTTCTCTTATTTCTTCTTCTTCTAACATTGTGCAAATTTACGCAGCAATTTTGGTTTAGCTAAGTCGTACGCTAAGTTCTAATCTGAAATCAGAGAATTATTTGAGCGCCAAATATACAAGTGAATTTCCCTCTCCACTTGGATTTTCAAGGGAGTTCTCCTATCAAGAACTCAATCCGCAGTGCTTACCTTGACTAGAAGCAATATACGTCCCAGCTAATCTCATTTAAACTTTCTTCAAATTCTGTGTGTTCACAAATTTTAATTTGAGGAACTTATCTCCGTTCGTGTTAAAATCTAATTTAAAAATCTAATATAATTTATGGACTTTATATATTTCATCTTATACAGTTGAATTGATCCCGAAAAATTTGATTAAATGTTGAAACCAGAACTTAATAAGATTTTTCCGAGAAATTTTGCTATAGAAGAAAAAATTACCACGCGAAAATCGAAATAAGGGTAGTCAGATGAGCATTCAGCAATAATTATTTCCAGTGATCTTTAGAACAAATTTGGGAGCAATTTTTAAAAAGTTCGGTTAATTTTAGTCTGACTATTGAAAAAAAATTACGAGAACCTTATTAAATGGATTTTAAAAACTGATAAATGAGCTTTGTGAAATCACTTCATTCGGTTTATAAATGGTTAAGAATCCTAAAATATTAAAATATCTAATTTGATTTAACTTGTTCAAATTTAATTTGATTTCATCTGCTTTAGTTTAAATTTATATTTTTTAAAATTTTAAGTATAGTGCTCAAAGAAAAGGTTGAATTGCATGGTACTTACATTTAATTCTAAGTTCATTCCTATCTCTTGACTAAAGTATCTATTATTAAAAATGATGACTGAGGATTCGTTCGCTTATGTTTAAGCCACTCTCTAATAAAGAGATTTCCAATAATCAGCCAAAGCAGAAATGGTGAATGGCATTAGAGGAAAAAATTTAAGAAGAACCTGATTTACACATAAAAATTTTGATTTCTGATTTTTAGATAACAAATATCCAAGCAGCAGTACGTGTATTAAAGTTAATAATGCAGGGGCTCGAAAGACGATTCACAATAGTCAATAGTAAAAAGCTAAATTTCTCTAAGAATAAAATTCTTGCACTTCTTGATATTCTCATTTACTACTGGTCTTAAAATCTAACCACTTCTACTTATGTTTGGTTCTTTTTATTTCGTGGCACCGTTAACTGAGTAAACATTAAATTTTCCCGATTCACCACTCGCCTGAATAAAATCTCATTTAATCAATACAAATTATTCGCGATGGATAAATTTCTTCGTAGAAAATAATTATCTTCTCTTTAATTTAATATATTAAATAATGCACTGTGTTAATCTCAATCACTATAATTTTATCGATGCTCTTGAAATGTTTCATTATCGACCTGAAAATAATCGTATTTCTCGTTATTCTCGATGGTTAATTTTTTATTTATCATTTTATTCTTTCCTTTTTGTGCAAAAATAGCCCTTCGAAGTAAGAAAACTAACTTGGATGAGATGTGCTGAATAATAAGTCAAATGCTGGATCGTTTTTAGGCATTGAATGTAGGTGTCAGCCTCGTTTCTGATTTTTTAATAGAAGCAATAAGTTAAAATCGACTGAAAATTCTATCATTGATTGAAAAATTGAGGATTTCAAAGTGGTTTGTTACACGTAGAAAAAATCGAATGAATAGGAAAATTCCATCTAAAATAAATAAAACATTAATTCTACTCCTTCACATTTGTTGTTGGTGGTGCGATTATGTAAGCATCTAAGCATAAGCACTTCAACCGCACGTCTCATGCCTCAAACTCAAACGTTGCTCCGCTTATAGGCCTTCTGGAAATAGTGAGGAAAGTCATGAAAAAGCCATTCTTTTATAACGTATATTTTAATAATTTTGAATTATAAAAACGAGATGTCTACGTACTTTAATTCGCTATCGGTTTTGGATTTTTCTTGTATTGAATTAAAGCTTAATAACCGATAGATAGCTTTTGAAACTATCGGATTATCGACAACTTTAAAATCTTTCTATTATTTTTTATCCTAAGTGAATTTGCAATGAATTTGCAAGGTAATAAAAGCGACGCACTACAAACTAAAGTAGATAGTATTGCGAGGAATAACCTACATTTGCCTGCAGCCATTCTAAATTTGATTGGGAGAAGCAGTTGACCACATAAAGATAAATGAAGATTACAACCAATTTATGGATAAGTCATACAAGAAGAGTGAAGAAATATAATATTAATGTAAAAGAAATATTAGATAGAATAAAAAGGTAAAATGGCAGATAATTTTAGTGGCCACTTTTTTCAAAACGAATTTCTTATCGAAAAAATCGCTAATTTCTTTATCACAAAGCTGCGGCATATATTTTAAAAAACTTGAATTTTCCTTCCCATTTTGCATTCAATAAGAAAAACATGCAAATAAAATTAATAAAAAACAAACAAAAATAAGCCCAACAAAATTCACAGCCTTTTTATCAGATTTTTTGGGCCAAAAATACAGTTCTTTGAAATTATTAGCTAAGTTTGAAAAAATAAGGACAAAAATGAGAATGTTGGCTTTTATTGCAAAATACCTGAACTTTAGATATTTTCGATATTGCTGCTTAATTTATATTTTTAACATTTTAGGTATTTACATAGCCGTGGCGATTATAAATCGACGAGACCTTATTCATATACTCGAATCTATGGGAACACATCGTTATATACACCACCGATGTTAGCACCAGAAGCTCGCTTACTTACTACTCGACGTGGTTATTCAGGATATACTTTTGTGGGTGGTGAACATAGTTATGATGTATCTTCGCGACCATATTCATTGAATAATTATCATTTTTGGAGATCACACATAGCAAGGTAAAAAAAAAAATTAAACGCCAAATGCAGACTCAAATATATATTAAGTGGCTGGCTCTTTTTCTTGTTGGTTAAGATTGTTAGATCTGTCCTACTAGTTGTTGATACTGAGAAATTTCATTTTTACAAGAGAGGCATTGGGAATAGACCTCACATTTCTAAATGCTTATTACTCCTTTTATTCCTTTTTGAGGCTGACTTCGAACTTTGATATTTGAGGCGATAAGAGCCACTCTGCTATCTTGCCCCATGGTGAAAATCTTTAAATATATAAAAAAAAGGAGTATAATGTCAAAAACCTGTCATGTCAAAAATCTGGGTGATTGCTGGGGATCCAACTGTAACTCTATCCCCAAGTGACTCTATGGTGAAAGGGTCAGATATTCTTGATACGGAGTCCGCGTCTCCCGACGCGCATGATACTTCCAGCCCGGTGTATACATGCGACAATCCGGATCCGGGCGTAAAGCGATCCCAAGGCTGATAAATAAAATGTGCTCGCAAGCCAGGGTAATTGCTCAAAACCTATCAATGGGGATAGCCCTCTGCACGCGCGGCGAGGTATTAACCGTATCAGCGTGGAATGTCAGAATGCTTATGGATGTTGCAAATCAAGCGAGCACTGTCGACATTTTTTCTAAATATCGTGTGGATATCGCTTGTCGAAAGTCGTCTTCTTCACTTCAGGTCTCGAATATTTCCTAATCCTGGTTCAGAGCAGAGATACTAGCTATATCACTGTGGTGCTTCGAATAAGTCGAGACGAAATGGCGTAGCAACTGTCATTTCATGAAAAGGCCCATTCAGCTTTGATTGAGTGGTAAGCGGTATGGATAGTATGGCCTATGCCCGTTTTAAAAGTAAGCTCTGCAATATCTCGGTCTTCAGTGTATACGCCTTAACTTTGTCGGCAAATGTCCGTGATAAAGACAAGTTTCTACGCGGAATCTCTACCGAAAATAACATGGTTATAATCAGGCGGATTGGAATACGCGGATAGGTCATAATACTGTAATGACCTCGATAATTGGAAATATGGCATTGTAAACCGTCAATGGGGTCTTCTTCGTTATGCCGCATGAACTTTTTATTACTAATACTTGCTGGTGGTATCGTAGAAAACATCTAGTCACGTGGAACTCTCCGAATAACCAAAACTTCAGCCAGATTGGTTAAATCTTAGTCAGTTGCCGTTGAAGAGTTCCGTACTAGATAGTCGTTCCTATCACGACTCTGCAATCTTTATGGATCTGACCATGTTATGGCTCGAACCAAGATCCTTCAACTATCTCAAACTAAAAAATTCGGGGACAGTGGATAGTGAGCGCACTTCAAACCGAATTATGAAGCATCTCAATGATACAAATATCAATGATTTTTCTGGAACGGCAAATGAATACTGGTCCAAACTAAAGGAATTTCTCCGAAAATCAGCCACTTCCATACTAAGGCATACTAGTAGGAAGTGCGCTAATTGGATACAGGATGCAATTGACTGAAAAAGTTACCAAAGCACGAATGTCAGGTGATTCTGACCAACGGATACTTCGAAGATTTGCAACGAAACCAGCAGGGCGGGACAGAAATCAACTGGAGTGTCTGAACGTGGTCTGGAGAATGGAGGTCGCGGCCCGATTAGGCGATAATAGGAAATTATTTCGCCTTCTTTATAAAGCAACTATAACTTGAGGAACGAGCAGTAAAATGGTATAGCAATGGGGTGCCAGTCAAGAATATTAAGGACCGCCTCATAAGATGGAAAGAATTCTTTGAGGCCAAAGCGCTATATATTGCACGTGATATAGCTGATACGTTCGCCGAACCATACGCTTGCAATTGTGAACCATACGCGCCAATAGAAGAAGAAATAATCTCTGTTATCCATAAATTTAAGGCCAATAAAACTCCGGGGGAGGATGGTCTATGAGCTGAAGTCTTCAAATGTTGTCCATCGTTCTTCATAATGCACCTTCAACAAATGTACTTTCTAGCATGGAAAGAAGAAATATTACCAGATGATTAGAGCAAAGCAATTCTGCTTGCAATTCTCAAGAAAGATGATAGGACATACTCCGACAATTATCGAGGAATCAGCCTACTAGACGTCTCAGTGAAAATTTTTGCTTCCCTTTTATTCAACAGACTTATGGAAGACAGTAGGATGCGCCTTAATCAAGCTGGATTCAGACCGCGGCGTGGTTGTGCTGATCAGACATTTACCTTAAGAAGGGTGCTTCAGATATTTATAACCCATTGTCACGTGTTTCATCGAGTTTGCGGTTGCCTTTGATTCAATTGACAGAAAGGCGCTCTGGATGGTGATGGAATGTGACAGTGTTCCAGAGAAGATCATTCGATTTATAAAGGCATTTTATGAGCATACGTCGGCGCAGGTCTGTATAGATGAGGAACTGACAGATTCCTTTGAAATAAGAGCTAGTGTTCCTCAGAACCACGTCCTTTCTCCTAAAATGTTAACCATGCGATAGGAGGATAATGGGCATTACTTGTCGGCACTCAAGAGGTGTCCAAATCAGTTCAGAACACCGTATTATAGATCTTGAATACGCTGATGATATGGTCTTTTTTGCTGACAATTATGACGAAATAATGCTAAATAACATGTTAACAACTGCAGCTAGAATCGGATTCACGATTAATGTAGATAAAACAAAATCTTATGTGCAAGAAGCTGATAAAATGCCTCTTTCCCTCTTTTTATAAATTCATTGCCAGTTGAATGAATGACCGATTTTAAAATGACTTTGAACCCACTCTATTACCAAATGGGCAGGCAAAAGACGATATTATAACCCAGATCACGGCAGCTAGAAATGCGTTCTTCGATTGATGATTGATTGACTTTATGGAGACGTCGTAAAATCATCATAAAAACGAAAGTCCTATATAGCCGTGATTCATTCGATCTGGCTATATGAGACATGGCCGGTGGAGAGTGGAGGATATTAAGAAGTTATCCACTCTTACCTAAGGTATATTTTACGAGTCCGTCGAGCGCATAAAGTATCACATGATCGCATCCACCTTCGTTCAAATACCAATTGCATTAATAACGTTATCACCGAGCGTCGCTTTCAGTATAATATACTTTCTTCGTCGCCCACCACAAGAGTTGATACATATTTCGTTGCTTACTAAACCTTGTGGTGGATGGCGTCGCAAGCGAGATGGGCCAATCGGATTGATACGGTCAGGAAAGAACATACAGGTGGACCACTAATATATGGATGGACTTAGACGATGGAAAAAAGAATGGCTTCTATTACTGTCGACGATGGCATTAGACCGCCCCGTTTGAAGCGTTTTACCCTTATATCCGTTGGAGACAGCTTAACCAATAATAATGAAAGCTGTTAGAAGAAGATATAAAAGATATAAAAGACCTTTAAAACAATAAAAAGTAGAATGAGGTAATGCAGGGAGATAAAATGGCCTACTAAAGCGAAATTCTTCATTTTAAAGTAAATTTACTTTTAAAGCAGAATATTAAAATATTCTTATAAGATTATGGCATGGAGTGAAAAGTTTTCCGTTCACTTATATAAAATTAAAATTATAAAATTAAAATTATGTAATAATATTAAAATTAAAAATAGGATAATTCCACCATTTTATTACGAATATGCATTATAAGAAAACTCGCTCCACTGGCTTATTGCATTGTGCAGTGTATCAGGGGGTTCCTTAGGGATAGGAGTACAAGTGGGTCGCCAGCATCACCAGAATTTTTATGAAAATTTACTTCTGCTAGGAATCGAACCTCAGCCTCGGCGCTTCCAATTTAGCAATAACCCACTGAGCCACTTTGTCCCATGCATCATAAAATTAAAATTCAATGAACTGGAAATTTGGAGTTAAATGATTTAAAATGGTTCAACTTCTCCTTCTATAAGTTCGCACCACTGCGGGTTTGGTGACGGTAGTTCCCAATATCCCAGTACGACGCCATTTGAACTCGTTTTACCGCAGTTTGAGCCAGTAAAATGTTTTACCTACATTAATTTAAATAATTTTAGTCAACATTTGATTGTGAAAATTTATCTTCAGAATTTTTTTTTGATCTAGAATGAAATCTTACTAAACTAACTAACTTCGAAAGCAATGGTTCTTCTAATACCCCAATAAATTATTAATAAATAGTAAATTGTTTTAAGTTCTCCGTGGTATTGGACATATTATGGCAATAGTGGATTACGACACTACAATAGCTATCGTCCTAGAATTTATAGATCAAAATTATCAACTTATTGGTCACCTTACTATAGATAAATAAGGAATTCTGATGAATAAAACGAACGAACTGCCATTTGTCGATGATTACTTATTCTTTTTTTACTTTTTTCATTATGTATTTTTTCATTATGTATTTAAAAAGGATCGAGAAAATCTTGAAAAAATGTCATAATGTTTCCTTTTTTTATCTTCTTCTCTTCGTTTGTCTTTACTTAAATAATTAACTTTAAAGTATGATTTTTGGCTGAAAAATGAATAAACAAATAAATATAAAGAAATATCGAGATACTAATGAGAATATATTTTAAAGCAATCGCACCCTTTAAATGATTTAATTGTTTTTTTAGTGAATTATAAAGATTAATAGATTGAAATATATTAATGAAATAAAATAGTAATAATAAAAAATGGTAACAAATAATAATAATTAATAATAACAATAATAATAAAATAATAATAAATAATAATAAACAATAATAATAAATAATAATAAAATAATAAAGAAGTATATATAATAAAAAATTATAAAAAACGATATCTTTTAAAGAATAAAAATTTACAAATAAATGGTTGTTGTAAAAATATATTTGTCACTTCATTTTATTAGAAATTATTTTAATAAATTTTATTTTATTAAAAATTGATAAATTTTGGCATAAAAATAAATATTTTTAAAATTTTAAGATAATAAAATAGTGAAGTAATTATTATGGAATGATAACTAAAAAATTTATTTTCATGACAGATTGG